ATTAGAGCTAGGGATTTAAAACTTTTTTACCAGCAAAATCAGTGGGGAGGCAGAAAGCAGATACAGTATTTTTTAATGACGGGTCGGGAGGGGGGCTTTTTGATTGCTCCCTTTATAGTGCTGTACTTCTATTGTTTTCTATTTTGGTTTCTTTTCTTGAAGACAATCTATTGTTTTCTAATTGTTTCTCACCAGATCATGAGATTATTAATGAGGTGGACGTATGACATGATTACCAATCATAATCAATCACAAAGTACAAAATTTGAAAGACTTCTAAGCTCCTAACAAAATTTAATAGAATCGATAATCCAGTTCACTGTTAACAATAAAATGGGGGATGGAAATTATCCACAAAAAAAATCATGTAATGTATCTCCCCTCCAGGGTATATACTCAAATCTAACTGTCTGATTGTTTTTTTTTAACAAATAAAATGAAATGGCACTTTCCGTATTAGTTGTGTTGTAGATCCCCGACCCCTCCCCTCCTAAAATATCGACGTCTTGGTATTTCATAGTGATACCAAGTGATACCAAGTGATAGTGAGCTTGCACACCAGCGAAATGTTTGCAATGTCACGCAATTTTAGATTTGTGCACGGCGCATATATGCAGTTATTGCACTATAGGAAGAAAGCAGCACTTTAAAATGCTTAAAAAACTATTTTGTTGGAGACTGAATGATTTGTGCAATTGTCTATTCAAAACGACAGAGTCAGCGAGAGGGAATACAATTGTAATCCGTGACCGTATATAAATTTTATTCTCGATTTTCACATGACGTCATCAGTCGAAAAATTCTAAAATCACAGAAACACAACATTTTAGTTCTGAAATATCTTGTGGAGCATCATAGCAGTTCTCTCTGAATGTTCAAAAATTTTTGCTGTTTATTCGTTGAGTTATCAACGTCCAAAAATATGTCACGCAATATTGTAACACGACTTATGACTACGCCAAAAATACTCGAAAAGCCTATTGATCTTAGAAAATTTAATCTCAGCATGAAATTAAATGTTTACAATGATATTGTTGTAAAGGTAAAGTAACATCATCAGTTTTGAGCTCAATTCGATACTCGGAGTTACGGTCCGCCATGTTTATGCCGATCAAACTACAAGGTCAAGGCGCAGCTGTCCCATACATTTCTTTGTCAGGCGATTGTTTGTTTCTTTGTAAAGTAAGACCGTATTCAAACGCTTATATTTTTGCTACAAAATCACAGTTTGGATTCAAACTTTGCATAACTGTTGGGAGTTATATGCTTTTTTGGTCCTTGGACTTATTTAAACAAATTTATTTGAACCTTAAAACAAAGCTTTTTGTAGGTATTTCGTGACCAGTCGAAAACGCATTGAGCCGTGATTATCCCATACACACACTCTTATCAATTTTCGATCGCTCGTATTTCTGTTAAAAATCATTATTTTGGCTCGGAATTTCGTAGCGATCCTTTGATTAAAATGTTCTCTCGAGCAAAATAATAAAAGTTTTCTAATTTTGCCTCTAAATAGATTTTTTACGACACTATCACGTGATCAGTGAAAGTCAATAAAAAACCCCTGAGTCATGCTTGTCGCAATGTCCTCTAGTCCCTGATACAGTTCTGACTTTATCTAACTTTGAGAATCAAATAATTTAAAT